CCTACCTTCTAGAAGAATCCTAAACCCCACCCCACAAGAATCGCAAAGCTCAAGACAAAAAGTCAGCCAAAAACCCATAAAAGAAACAAACAAACCCATTAGAACAGAAACCCCCCCCGCCATCCCTGATAACAGGCTAAGCACCATGCTCTTCAACAAGGCTATGATGGTGCTTTTTGTGGGGTTTTGTTTCTGTTGTTTTTTTCTTTCTTTCTTTCTTTTTTTTTTTCAAGACAGGGTTTGTCTGTGTATCCCTGGCCGTCCTGGACCTCACCCTGTTCACCAGGCTGGCCTCGAACTCAGATCTACCTGCCACTGCCTCCCAAGTGCTGGGATCAAATGTGTGTGCCACCGCTGCCTTGCTATTTTTTTTAATTATTTATGTTTATTTAATGTGCAGTCCCGTTTTGCCTGCATGTACGCCTGTGTGACGCTGTTGGATCCTCTGAGCTGGAGGTACAGTCAGTTGTGAACTCTTTGTGGTTGCTGGGCATTGAACCCAGATCCTCCGGAAGAACAGCCAGTGCTCTTAGTGGACTGAGTCATCTTATCTCTCCAGCCCCAGCAGGATGGACTTTAATCATCATTCTAAACCAACACAACACAGCTAGAACTCATTATAGGTCCAAGTGTTAGGACCCCAGATAAAAGTGGATTCAGAAAGGGTACTCATGGATGTAAATATTGAGAAACAGTGAGTGGAATGTCTTATTTTGTTAGTGTATGTATGAATTGCTCATGTCATCGACAGGATTTCCATGATAGTGTTCGTTTCCCCTGAATACATATAGAGTGTTCTCTTGTCGGTTTATTAAAACCATTGTTTTGTATGTGTGTGTGACACATTGCTAATGAAATTATTTGGCTACCACCAACTTGTTTTGTGTTTCTTTCTCGGAATCGCAGGGCATAACATCAGGGTTACACAGCGTTCGAAAGAGACAGTATGACAGATTTGCAAATCCAAAACCTTCTCAGGGCTCACTGGTTTAAAAACAACAACAACAACAACAACAACAAAAACCTGCCGGGCGTTGGTGGCGCACGCCTTTAATCCCAGCACTTGGGAGGCAGAGGCAGGGGGATCTCTGTGAGTTCGAGGCCAGCCTGGTCTACAAGAGCTAGTTCCAGGACAGCCTCCAAAGCCACAGAGAAACCTTGTCTCGAAAAAC